CTGAAGCATTGTCTTTCCAGCCCCGCACCCACAGGGAACTATGTAGATATTCATTTACATTCTCCTCTTCATCTGTCGTCTTTTGGAATTTAGTGTTGTAGCAAAAGCCAAGACTAGCTTGATTTTTTTTTTTACCGCTTTAAGGCAAGTCTAACTGTTCTGCCTAAATGATTGCAAAATTTTTCCTCTTGATTTTTTTTTAATTAAAATGTGTTGCCAAACTTAATGAGCCAGGCATTCATCAAACTATTCTATTTTTGTGTGTGTTTGACATTCCAGTAAGAAAAAAACCTAAGAAAATATCAAAAGCTCTCTAGATATGAGTCTTTTCCCATTGGTTTTGCTGGACTGTGGTGGGCTGTTTTCACAGGACCTGCAACCCACTCTTCAGCTCCGGCTGTGTGTTTCTTTACTTCTGTTATTGTTTATTGTTTTTGTTCCATTTGTTCCACTGATCTCTTTTAACTTAAAGGTCTCTGCCGTGTATCTTCTGTCTTTAAAAAGCTTTTTATTATTTATTTTTGTCTGCATAGGTCTTCATCGCTGTGTACGGGCTTTGTCTGGTTGCAGTGAGTAGGGGGCCAGTCTCTAGTTGTGGTTTGCGGGCTTCTCATTGTGGCAGCTTCTCCTGTTGCCAAGTACGGTCTCTAGAGCACTGGCTCAGTCATTGCGGGGCATGGTCTTAGGTGCTCCATGGCATGTGGAATCTTCCTGGACTAGGGATCGAACACATGGCCCCTACATTGGTAGATGGCTTCTTAATCTCTGGACCACCAATGGAAGTCCTGAATCTTCTGTCTCATTGCTGACCCTTGTGCCCTTGGCAGCTGCTGATAGAACTTCATCTTGACACAGTACTTCCTTGACTTTCTACAGTGTTGATCCTGTTTTCCCCTTGTTTCAGTATTAACCTTAATTCTGCTAATGTTGGCTTCGTTTCCTCATAATAAGTCCTTCCTGCCTCCATCTCTTTCTTCACCTCAGCCTGTTTTCTTCTCCTGTCTTGTGTTCTTGTTCCATAGTGGTTACTTTATTTTGTATTGTTTCAAGGATACACCTCTCCTGATGTTTTCTCTGACACCTTACGATTAGAGTAAATTTCAGAGAGAGGTTGTTCCTCTCAGCCTTCTGAGTATCCTTCTCAGGATGCTGTTTTTCTTTTTTCCTCAAGCACTGTAGAGTCCTTTAAAAAGGACTCTAAACAGGACTCTAAAAAGGAGTCCTTTAAAAACAAAAAAAACAGTGGAAACTTTTAGAATTAGCCAGCTGCACTCAGTTTAGATGATCCCAATTTCATTGGCAGCGTCCAAAGCATCATGGTCAGGAGCCAGTTGGACATAGGCCTTCTTCCCTCCATCGGGCCTGATCAGGGTGTTGGCCTTGGCCGAGCTGATGTCACAGAGTGCCTTCACGCTAGTCTGGTGGTGCTGGCCTTGAGAGCCACAGTGAGCACCAGGCGCACTGTGTCTCCTGTCTTCATGGCTGACTTCTGGTTGAGGGGGGACCTTGATGGCGTAGTGGTCACACTTGTTTCCCCAGGGCACTCTTCTGAGGATATCTGGGCTCCCTCCTGAGCCACAGTGCTTTAGGCCATTGGACGACGAGTGACGTATGGATCATCTTTTTTTGTTTTATGGCCGTGGACGCCTTTCAACACTGCTTTCTTGGCCTTCAAGGTCTTTGCTTTGGCTTCCGCTTTGGGAAGGGCTGGGGCTGAAGGAAAATGAGGGTGCAGGGGCACCCACTACCGAGCTTCAGTACAGAATTGATCAATTTATACAGCCTTTTTCAGTCACTCTGTTAGAATTTTCCCCCTCTATCCAGACTCCCAAACCAGTGACTGGGGATCAGAGCAGCTGGACTGGTCTCCTGTCCTCACTGGGCTTTCATGCTCGGAATCTGTAGAATGTACAAAAACTACATTTCCCAGCATGCAGTGCCACCTCCCCTTCCTGTCTTGGTCCTTGTCTCAGGATGCTGTGTTTCAAGGCCAGGCCAGACTCTACTTCCTGCCCCATTGTCTCTCTCCTGGTTATCACCTCTGACTGACGGTGGCATGGAGGGGAGCAAGGGGCGGAGTTGAGGTTTGAGAGTAATGGAACACTGTCCTGATTGCCTATGAAAAGTGAGTGTTAGTCACTCATCATGTCTGACTCTGTGACCCCATAGACTGTAGCCCACCAGGCTCCTCTGTCCATGGAATTCTCCAGGCAAGAATACTGGAGTGGGTTGGGGTTCTTCCCCACCCGGGAATCAAACCCAGGTCTCTTGCACTGCAGGCAGATCCTTTATCATCTGAGCCACCAGAATGAAAGCAGATTTTTTCCCCTAATACCTTTCAAGTTTTCCTAATTACTCTGGAGGACATTTTCTACTTATATAATAAAATAAAATGTGAAACAAGTAGTATCTCTGTATTTATGAGACAGCTGCCCAGTATTTAAGATCTGAATCTTACTTCTGGTCTCTGAGCAGGAGGTGGTCAGCATAACAGGTAAGAAGTACCTTTCCACCTTCCTGAGGGCAGATTCTGGGCCTTGGAACCCTGGATTGTTTTTTTCAGTCCAGCCCTATCCACCATCCACCTTCTATTTATGGGGCTTCTTCCCAAACCTGTCCTTAGCTCACCCTTCAACCTTTGATTTTAGTGTTATGAGTTTTTGCCTTTTTAAAAAATAACATCAAAGACTGGCATATGGATGACTATTTTGTCATTAAAAAAGAGTGATAAAATATACATATCAGAAAATTTGACTTCCTAACCATTTTTAAGTATTCAACTCAGTAGTGTTAAATATATTCATATTATTGTATGACCAAACTCTCGAACCCTTTTCATCTTGCAAAGCTGAACCTCTGTACCCAGTAAGCAATAACCCTCCTCCCTCGCTCCCTTCCCTGCTCTGTCCCCAGACCCTTTTCATCAACATTCTACATACACCCATTTTGAAATTAAAGATATCCGAAAGTCTTAATGGTCCTTCGTTCATTTGGCACAGTTTTAGTGAGCACACACTCCTTGCCAGACCCTGTCGTAGGTTCTGGGAAATCAGCACTGAACAAGAGCAGTATGGTCTCTGTTTTTAAGAAGCTGAGTTTTTAGGGAGAAGAGGAAGGCAGACAATAAACGAATGAACAGAGTGAGTTCAGTTCAGTTGCTCAGTTGTGTCCAACTCTTTGTGACCCCATGGACTGCAGCAGCCCGGCCATCTCCTGGAACTTGCTCAAACTCATGTCCATCGAGTTGGTGATGCTGTTCGACCATCTCATCCTCTGTCGTCCCCTTCTCCTCCTGCCTTCAGTCTCTCCCAGCATCAGGGTCTTTTCCAGTGAGTCAGTTTTTTGCATCAGGTGGTCAAAGGATTGGAGAGTGAGTTCAGATAGCACTAAGAGCTGGGAGACAGAACAACAACTATTGGGACGGAGGGGAGCCTGCAGCATGCTCCCTTGGCCAGCGTGGTCCTGGGCAGGGGGCCTCTCTGAGTGAGTGATGGTTGAGTCGATCCCTGGATTTATGTGGGAGACCTCCTCCACCAGGTAGATGAATGAAGGATGTCAGTCTTAGCAGGGAAATAGTGCCCACAAAGACTCTCACTACTTTGAAGAGTTTGAAACAGCATAGCCTTGCTTGGGCATTGTGAGCCGCAGGGGGAGAACGAGCAGGTGGCGGGCAGCGTCTGAGGCACTGGAGGGCCACGGAGTTCTAGTTCGTGAGAGGCAGTCTGCATGAGCCAGCCTTCCCTCACTCACTCACTCCTGCTCTCGGGCTGAGGACGGAATCCCCAGGTTCAGCTGAGTGTGAGGCCAGTTCTTTTTCTAATGGCAGGACTGCTGTGGGGTATAGAAATCTACCCCCAGTTACTTCCTGTCCCCTTAGGAAGCATATGCAACTATTCTACAGTGACCCGTGACTCAGAAAGGTCAGGGATGCCCCAGGGGCACAGTGCTTAAAGAACCCACCTGTCAATGCAGGAGCCACAGGAAACAAGGGTTCGATCCCTGGGTCGGGAAGATCCCCTGGAGGAGGGCATGGCAACCCACTCCAGTATTCTTGCCTGGAGAATCCTGGGGACAGAGGAGCCTGGTGGGCTACAGTTTGTGGGGTCACAGAGTCAGGCACAGCTGAGCATGCATGCTTACAAAGGTTAGTATTAGAGTTAGAAAGGTTTTCTTGTTGTTCTCAAGGATTTAGGGAGGATTAGAAAAATGCTTTATAGGGAATTCCCTGGCAGTCCAGTGGTTCCACTGCTGGAGGCCTGGGTTCAATCCCTGATCATGGCACTAAGATCCTGCAAGCCACGTGGCATGACCAAATAAAGAAAGAAGAAAATAAATGATTTATAAACACCAATCTGGTAACCCCAAAGAGTTTTTGCTATAATGGCATGACCACATCTGTCTTCAGTGATGTGTCTTCTTGACTTCTGCCAGGCTGGCTGCATCCAATGGCTGTGGGCTTGCGAATGTCATCACACTGCAGATGTCTTTTCTCAGCTCTGGTCATCAGATTGCACTCAAACTGCATTTTGAGCAGCCTGTGTCTGATAAAATTCTACTTTGTTTATTTTTATTTTTTTGGCCACATGTGCGGAATCTTTCCTGACTAGGGATTGAACTTATGCCCCCTGCCTTGGGAACTACAGGATCATCAGGGAAGTCTTCGACTTTTGGTTTTTTATTGTAACTATTTTAAAGTATTTTTAAACAGGTAAAAAAAAAATAAACACCCTTAAGGAAATATGGTGAACATGAATTGTTTTAGTCCAAGAATGGGGAGAGACATAGCCTATGGTGATTCTGATATGGCCATTATGCAGAAACCCGTTTATGAATAGATGATCTGAATCTACACTTCAGTCCACTGAACCAACCGAAATCCACCACCATCCACTTAAAACTGGGCCCGCTTCATGTTGGGCTCCTTATCTAGTGTGATACCTCTTGAGCTCTAAACGTTGGATTTGGAAAATGCTTGGCATCATCCTCGGTCTTTATTTCAGAAAGCATCCTGGGATGGCATGGGCCCAAGTCACACTCCACGGAGCAGCTGAAAAATGGGACACTTGGCTCCTTGCCATCAGCCAGCGCCAGCATCACCTGGGCCATTTTACCCAACTCCACGGAGGACGAGCAAACCTTCCCGCCAGAGCCAGAGCCAGAGGTAAGCCGGCTGTTCTCTCTAGCACCGTGTGTGGCTTTTTGTTAGTGCTTGCTGGGAAAGAGAGTAATTATATTTGTAACTTGCTCATCTCTGGATTTTAAGAGGAGACCAGTGATAAAATGGAAGCATCACCTGGGGAGACAGAATCACCCCTGAGCATGCCTGTTCTCCTGCCTGGCAGCTGCCGTGGGCGAATTATGATGCAACCGATGGGGAATCTCCTATTTTCACTGAAACGGAAGTTATTTTCATATTGAGCAGGAGAGATTCGAACACACTCGCTGACGTGACGCCTGTTGACATGATGGGAGCAGTTACAATATATTCTATCACTCCCCTAAAAATAGTGGCTTCTTTGTGTTGGTTGTGCTGATACCATGAGCTCCTGCCTCCCACGCGCACTCCCCGCATGCTACAGAACCAGGCGAGCCCATGGGCGGTGGCTGGGGCTCTTCCGGGCACTGCGCTGCAGCCCGGGACCAGGGACGAGCAGCTCTGTCGACCTTAGTGGCCAGCCAGACCCTGCCACAGGCTCGCTGGGCCCTGCGATCTGCCTGCACGATGCTCCTTGACCAACGGCGCCTCTGAGTGGCAGCTGGAGAGAAGCCAAATGCAGCCTGCCTTGTATTCATCTCTCCCGTGTCACGAGTGAATGTCTGTTTTCTCTGTTTCTTTGGATGCACGTTTCCTGTTGACATGATCTTGTGAACCGGGCTGGGACCTACTGTAACCATATGTTAGAGGTGGTTCTTTGTTTGAATTGAAATCACTTTGGCTAGAAAATTATAGAACAGGATCTATTTTGTAAGGGTGCAAGCCCCAGAGCAGCGTCTTGGATCAAATGGTCTTGGTTCTCCACTGGCATTTTTCTCCCAGCTTCACGTGGTTTTTTTCTCTGAGGCTGAATAAAGGGCCTAGATCTTCCAGAGGCAGGGTCAGCCTGCCCACAAGTATTTCGTCAGCATCTGTAAGGTGACTTTGCAGAGTATGAAATGATAGGGGATGTGAGGTTTTGAGAGGCCTTTGCCTCTGGCCATGCACTGAGTTTCAGGTGGGAAACACTTGCAGCTGACATGTCGTTGCCTTGCAAGGTAAGTTGGAAACTGAGAGGATGATCGGAGCTTGGGATCAGGTAGCTCTGTTGAGAGCCTTGGGGGGGTGACGTTTGAGGAGGGGTGCTTCACTGCTGAGGGGCTGAGAACTCCAGTCCCTTCCATTCCATTGGGAAAGAAGCTTTGGGACTTCACACCATAATACACGTACTTAAAACTTGCTCTAGAAGGACATGAAGAGAGAAATTCTTAGATCTTCAGAAGCAAATCCTATGCACAGCAGCATCACAGAAACCCTAGCAGAGACTATCACCTAATAAGCTTAAAAAAATAAATGATTTTGTTTATTTATTTATTGAAGTCTAGTTGATTTATAGTGTGTTAGTTTGGACTGTACAGCAAAGTGATTCAGTTATACATAATTCTTTTTTAAAATATTTTTTTCCATTATGGTTTATCACAGGATATTGAATATACCAGTAGTCCCTTGTGCTATATACAATAGGACCTTGTTGGTTATCCATTCCATAAAAGAGTTTGCATCTGCTAACCCCAACCTCCCAATCTATCAGTCCCCAGTACCCCCGCCTTGCCAACTACAAGTCTGTTCTCTATGTCCATGAGTCTGTGATAGGTTCATTTGTATCATATTTTAGATTCCACAGGTAGGTGATATCATATGGTATTTGTCTTTCTCCTTCTGACTTCATCTAATGTAATAATCTCTAGTTGTGTGTGTGTATATATATATATATAATTATAATTATATACATATTTAAAAAATTATATATATATAATGGAATACTACTCAGCCTTAAGAATGAGCAACATGGATGCAGCTAGAGATTATTACACACACACACATATATATGTGTATATATATGTGTGTATGTGTGTTCTTTATACATTCATCTGTCAATGGGTATTTAGGTTGTTTCCATGAACACTGGGGTGCGTGTATTTGAATTAGAGCTGTGTCTAGATATATGCCCAGGAGTGAGAGAGCTGGATCTTATGGTAATTCTGTTTTTAGCTTTTTTTGAGGAACCTCTGCAGTGTTTTCCACTGTGACTGCACCAACTCACATTCCAAACAACAGTGTAAGAGGGTTCCCTTTTCTCCACACCTTCTCTAGCATTTGTTGTTTGTAGACTTTTTAAAGATAGCCGTTCTGACCAGTGTGAGGTAGTACTTTGTGGTAGTTTTGATTTGCATCTCTTTAATAATTAGCTTACTCCTTGGAAGGAAAGTTATGACCAACCTAGATAGCATATTAAAAAGCAGAAACATTACTTTGCCAACAAAGGTCCGTCTAGTCAAGGCTATGGTTTTTCCAGTGGTCATGTATGGATGTGAGAGTTGGACTGTGAAGAAAGCTGAGCGCCAAAAAATTGATGCTTTTGAACTGTGGTGTTGGAGAAGACTCTTGAGAGTCCCTTGGACAGCAAGGAGATCCAACCAGTCCATCCTAAAGGAGATCAGTCCTGAGTGTTCACTGGAAGGACTGATGCTGAAGCTGAAACTCCCATACTTTGGCCACCTGATGTGAAGAGTTGACTCGTTGGAAAAGACCGTGATGCTGGGAGGGATTGGGGGCAGGAGGAGAAGGGGACGACAGAGGATGAGATGGCTGGATGGCATCACTGACTCAATGGACATGGATTTGGGTGGACTCCGGGAGTTGGTGATGGACAGGGAGGCCTGGCGTCCATGGGGTCTCCAAGAGTCAGACACAACTGAGTGACTGAACTGAAAAACTAGTGACCTTGAGCATCTCCTCACGTTCCTGTTGGCCATCTCTGTGTTCTAGGAGAAACGTCTGTTCAGTAACCTAACAAGCCGGTTATCAGGGCTACTGGTATTCCGCATTCTGAGTTCTTCATGTATGTGTGCTGCTTCCCATGGGTGCTTCCTGTAACTCCAAAGTTTGAGAGATCTGGGTTTTTTTTAAAACATAAAATTATTGCCCACTTTGCTTTCCGGTCAGTAGCAGAGGCAGAAGATAGTATATCATTATCCGTGTGAAATAACGAGCTCCGAAGTTCAGCTTAAAAAAAATACCTTGAAGGAGAAGCACTAAGGAGAGTTTTTCCCCCTGAAGTTAGGGACAGTCATTAATTTCTTCTTGTCATTTTTGCCCTTATTCCTTTTGTGGGCTCAATAGGAGATATTGTCTGTTAATCCCTTACAGCAGGCAAGACTTATGGGTTGTGATGTGGGTGTGATGGTTTTCTGAGAAGAAAGGATTAAGAGTTCTTTTGCAAAGCCTTCCCTCATTTTTTCCATTGACACCGCTAGTAGATGATTTTTGCAACCCAAACAGCTAGTGTTGATTGGATGCTATTTTTATTTTAGGCCATTGTGCTTTTTTTTTGGTCCTAAGAATTGAAGAAGCTAGCATCAGCCACCCAATAGTTTTCTTGTCAGAAAAAGGAGAATGTTTTCATTGTCTCCCTTTTGTATAATTTCGGAGAAACAACCCCAGAAGAAGTGAAGTGAAATTCCTGAAGGCTAAAAAGTTCCTTATGAGAATGTTCCTTATCCCTTTTGATATTGAGAATATAGTATAGTTACTAACTGGGTGGTCATTGGAAGACTAGGAATGGTAGCTATTGTGATGCTTTAGAAATATGTTCTTCTGGCTTATTGTTGTGATCACGTTAGGTCTTTAGGAGTGTAAATTAGGATATAAACACTCCAATGTGTTATTTATGGTGTTTGTTTTATTATTTTTTTTGCCATATAGTATGGCACTCGGAATCTTTATTCCCCAACCAGGGATTGAACCCATGCCCTCTGCAGTGGAAGCGCGGGATCTCTGGACTGCCAGGAAAGTCCCTGTTTGTGTCTTTTTATGCCATCAAGCAATTCAGTCAGTTCAGTTCAGTCGCTTAGTTGTGTCTGACTCTTTGTGACCCCATGAATCGCAGCACGCCAGGCCTCCCTGTCTATCACCAACTCTCAGAGTTTACTCAAACTCATGCCCATCGAGTCGGTGATGCCATCCAGCCATCTCATCCCCTGTCATCCCCTTCTCCTCCTGCCCCCAATCCCTCCCAGCCATCAGGGTCTTTTCCAGTGAGTGAACTCTTTGCATGAGGTGGCCCAATTAACTCAATCCAATTCCCATCAGACACAGACTGGGCGTCCTCCAGTTCAGCTCAATTCTGATGCTGTCCACCCGGCGGGGGCGCCAGATCGCACAGGGGAAGGGCTCGGGCCTGCAAGACCGAGCCTGCCTTCCACGTCCGATCCAGTCACAAGTCCAAGCCGTCCCCGGTGCTTCTGACCAGCTGGCTCTGGGTTGGAGAGGCCTGTCCTCCTCTCAGGTGTGATTAATTTGCTAGAGCAGCTCACAGAACTCAGAGAAACACGTAGCAGTTTCCTACAGAAGGATGCCTTTCAGGAACGGAAGAAAGAAAAGCCCAGAGCAAGGTCTGTAGGGAGGAGCTTGGAGCTTCGCTGCCCCCTCTGAGTATACCTCCGCCTCCCTGCACCCCACCTAGTCACCAACCAGGATGTTCTCTGCACCCTGTTCTTTAGGGGTTTTATGGAGGTCTCATTGCATAGGCAAGAGTAAAGAAATTCTTGGCCACTGATGATTCTCCAGTGATTAAATCACTTCCAGCTCCTCTCCTTTCCCTGGAGACAAGGGAGTGGGACTGAAAGCTCCAGCCCTCTCATCACAGGGGTCAGCCCCACGGACAACCATCTCCCATCCTTAGGTGACCAGGGGCTTACAAAAGTCACTCACTCACATAACAAATGACACATTTAAAGCTCTCATGTCTTAGGAAATTCTGAGGGTTTTAGGAACTCTGTGCCAGAAATAGGTACAAAAAGCAAATGTACATTTCTCATCATAAATCACAATTTCACACTCCCCTCCCCTGGCTCTGGCTTACGATAAAACAACTTACACGTATCTGGAAAATGAATGCATTTTCA